AAATAAATATATGCTACTTTTGGTATCTCTACATGATAAAACCTATATACAGTGATGAAACAGTAACTAGCAAACACTTTAAAAAAATAAAATGTAATCTATTTAATCTAATACAAATTTCTCAAAGAATTTCATATCACGCTTTTGATATATCTTAGCATGTGTAGCTAGTTATGTAGTGTGATTTCCTCTCCATAGTCAAGAGGTTAGTTCAAATTTGACACATAGGTAAAGGGCTTATAAGAATCAGACGTTTTTAAGAGGATATGCAGCTAAAAATGAAAAAAACTACTCATGGAATGCATATAAAATTAATTCATTGTTAGTAGACAAAATAACTATTTTTTTCGCCGGGCTAAGTGGGGCTACTTATCTTCCCAAAAGAGAGATCCACTGAAAAATTTAATATAAATATATCATTGAAGAGAAAAATGGTAATCCGTGAAATGGAGGAATATTTACCAGACTTCTTGTCAAATTCATATTGCCAGAGATAATAAGAGCACGTATAATTTATTTACAGTTGAGTAAGATATCATATAATTATCAGCGGTGGAATAGGCTAAAGCTCAAATACAGTTATGGTAACTGGGTGTATTTTCGATGATATGCCGAACAAGCTGGTGTGGCCCTCGGTAGTCACAGTCTTCATTCGATGTATAGAAGTGGATTGGTCTCTTTTTCGCAACTTAGTCTTGTTGTCAGGGTGACATAGTTGGACGCACCGTGCCTGAAGTCAGTTGCTATAGTAATTATCTTAAAACTCAGCGACAGATCGTGAACTTGTTACATTCTCAGACGTTTCGCCGGCATCGTATTTGTCATTATCAGTGAGTCTTGCATATCTCAGCGCCAAGCTACAACCCATCAAAGAGGCAAGTGAAGAGATCCCCTTTCTGCCGAAACGGTTGTATTATCACTCCTCTTTCTGTCCTGGCTCATCTATCTATCCCTCCTTCTCCTTTCTGCTTCCGAGATATCCTCTCGGCCAAATATATCCAGCAGATCCGTTAAAGCCTTTTCTCTAGAGATATTTGTATATATCTATTGTCCCTCATTTGTCTGTCTGAAGGACTAATTGTTCATTCATTTCTAGAGGCTTGCCTATCCTGGCAAATCTGCTTCTGCGTGTTGATTTTTAATAGGTCAAGATCCTTGGAATAGGTTTCATCTCCATGTCCCGTTTTGTCTCCTCAGGGAACTTGTCGGAAATATAGATACCCTCCACCAAGATGTCTTCTAGAAGGCTTCTGTCATTTTGAAGTGCAAAGTTGAGTTCTTTCTTCAGGAGCGTGGCGGTCTCAGGATCAAAAGAAAGTGATGATAAATTCACTACTTTCTTCTGATCGTTGTACTGATCAGTAGGTGTTGTCACCTTGGAAATCACGCCAACTGGGCTCATCTGCTTTAACTTAGGCTACCATAATCACTTCCACTTGAGCACGAGACCCCCCGATCCTAAAGAAAGGACTAAACTCTTCAATTCAAAATGACAGAAGCCTTCTGGAAGACATCTTGCTGGAGGTTAACTATATCTCCGACAAGTTTCATGAGACAAAACAGGAAATGGAGATGTAACATATTCCAAGGATCTTGGCATATTAAGAATCACCATGCAGAAGCAGATTTGACAGGATAGGCAGGGCCCTATAAATGAATGAACAATTAGTCATCCAGACAGACAAAGAGGGGCAACAGTGATAATGATACTGAGAAGATGGGATAGATATATACAAATATCTCTAGAGAAAAGGCTTTAGCGGACCTGCTGGATATCTTTGACCGAGAGGAGGATATCCTGGAAGCAGAAAGGAGCAGAAGGGAGTCGTTAACACGATTAATCAACTTTACAATAGGGACAACCTCTTTCACATTCAACAAATATTTGGACCTCCCATGGGATCGCCGCTCTTGTCTATTTTGGCTAACGTATACATGAACAAATTAGAAGAGAACTTCAAGATATTACTGCCACAGCCAACAGTGCTGATACGGTACCTGGAAGATTACTTCGCACTTTGGTCACATGAAAGATAAAAACTGGAAGATATTCTAAAATTTATAAACCAGATTGACGAAGAAAACAAATTCACGATGGACGTAGAGGAAGGTGGGCGGATACCTTTTCTGAATGTTGAAGGGATTCGCTCTAATATGGCGTTAAATAGGAAATTGTTTAGAAATGTCAGGATAATCTCAATTCCAGTCCCACCAGAACTACCGGCTAAAGTTAGGAATAATGAGGAGCATGGTAATCAGAAGCCTACTATTAACGGATGTGAAATTCTGGGATGAACACTTGACAAAATTGACTCAGTTATGCCTTGGCAACGTTTACCCAAGAGAAGTAATACAAAGAAACATACGGGCCGTGAAAAGCCGATAGCAGAACGGATAATATGAAAGAACAGTAAAGACGGAGAAAGATTTCTCAAAAGTGGATATATCTACCTTCCTACGAACAAACTAAAAAATTAAGATCAATACTAAGGAAATGGAATATTCGAGTAATGACGAAGGAAAAAACAACACTCATGAAAGATGAGAGGATGGACAAATTGGATTGCTCGAGAGGTTACTACATAGCATGCGGCACCTGCAAACAGAAATATATTGGGGAAATATAGAGATCAAGTGGAAGGCAATGGAAAGAAGGGCCTTATGGGGTAAAAGGAGAAGGAAACATAGTCGTCACAAAAATTCGGCATTATGGCTAAAATGTACTAGAAATCTACACTTGTTGCTGAAGGCAAGTAGGGATAGGAGTCCACAGTTTGTTCAGGTAATACGGGTTTAATCAAGAAGACAACCCGTGAAGGCAAAGCCTAATATCTGCAAAGATGAGAATCATAGAAGTTGTTTGACCTTGTTTTCGCA